GGACAAATTTGGGGTCCTTAAAGTAGCTTTTCAGTTTCTGAAAAGCAATGTGGCCCACTTTCTTCCTACTATTCAAATGAGATAATGTCTGTAAAGTGCTATATAAATATTAGTTATAATTATTATTAATTATTCATTTCTTGTCCTAACTCATTTTTCATTTGGAGTGTATGTATGAAATTCAGAATTTCGGTGGATGAGTCCATTTCAGTATCAGTTTTACTTACAGCTATGAAGCAGTTAGTTACTCATCAGCTGGTGTGTATTGACTCTTCTCCATTTTTTCCCTTCCTGCAGGTGTGGCTTTAATATACAGACAGTCCATTAACCACACACCACCTGTCTTTTGTCTGACTTTCCTTCAGAGCCACCCTCTCTCCTCCTTCCAGGTGTAGGATTTGACCTAGATTCCATGCACCCAGCCAGAGGCCAGCCCAGGCTGTCAGGACTTGCCTAGACAGAAATAAAAGAACAGTCCTTGCTTGCCAAAGATTTCCTCTTGTCCTGTTTGTCAGAATCATGTGAAACCACCCGGAAATAATCCAGTCAGTGACAGTGTTGCAGCTCATGTGTAGTTTCTGTTTGTTTATACTTTTTTTCTTGGGTATCAGAATGCGCTCATCACTATCAAACCAAATGATTAATTCCAGTAAGCCTGTTAATTCAGGTTGATTGGTGCCAGGTAGGGGCTTAATCATTGGGTTTGAATAGCCCAGAACCTCTTCAGTCTGAGTTAATTGAGTGTCTTCTAAAGACAGATTTGACAGTAGGAAAAAAAATACACTTACAAGAAATATACTTTTGTTACTCAGCTGATGGCTACAGTTTCATGGTGAAATTAAACTTCAGAGAGACTACAATTTCCTCCCAAAGATATTCTGGCCAAGTCAAGCCAACTCATTGTTCGACATGCATTAGGCACATGCTGTCAGGTTTCAAAGTGGTTGGGTCAATTTCCCAACATGCTATAGTTTTTGAATAACAAAGCTGGGTACAAGAATTAAGTGTCCAGACCTCCCTCGCCCACCTCCCTTGCCACACATAATGAACATACATTACCTTTTCTAGCTTGATGTCATTATGTGGGGCTGTTTTAAGTTGTTGACAATTTGTCTTACAGCAAATTAAGCAAAAAAAAAATTTTTTTTTTGAAAGGTAATTTGGCATAGTGGTTGGAGCTCTAGTCTCAGATTCAGAAATACCTGTGTTCGAATTCCAACAAAAACACATTTTATGTGACCTTGGACAAGTGAACTTCTGTTTCCTCAACTGTAAAATGAAGGTGATGTACTAGATGACCTTGAGGTCCCTTCTAACTCTCTATCTTTGATCCTATCTGTGTGATCGTCTCTTTACTTCCCTGGGCCTCAGTTTCCCCATTTGTAAATAAAGTGGTTGGACTAGATGTAGTTCCTTCCAGCTCCAGATATGTGATGCTATAATTGGGTTAAGGGGAGGGAATGTTCTTAGGGGACAAAGAAGAGAAAATAAGCATTTATTAAGTGTCTACTATATGCCAGCCACAGTGCTAAGCCCTGACAATTGGGAGTTGGTGGCTGTGACTGTCTACACCGGTCGATTCTCAGATTCTCTTTGAGAATACAGACCTAATTTGTCCCCACCCTGAGACCCTGCTGCTCAGTTCATGCCCTCAATCCAGGTTAATGGCAATCCCTGTTTGTTCCCCCCAAAATCAATTTTTCTTTATCAAGGTTGCCCCCTGGTGGCCAGAGATTAAATTTTGAGGAAACCAATCCCAGCTATATTTTTTCCTTTCTCTTTTTCCTCTTTATTCTCAAGAATTGTTTTTTTTAACGTCAGGTTCTTTCTTTGTAAATCCTAGTCATAATAACCTTTGGAGTTTCCCATTCGTCACCTCTTGAAAAGTGATCAAACAGGTTTGACATAGTGAAACCAGCTACCTAAGACTTCGAGAAACTAATCTGGCCAATTGGATTGACTGCTGCACTCCCCCATTTGCCTTGTGAAATCTCCTGTTGGCGAGACTACTTGGTCATGAATGCATCCTGGGAGCTTCATGACGCATCAAGGAGTGTCTCAGGTTCCCTCCCAAGTTTCACCAAAGACCCAAGACCAATTGTTAGCAACTGCTGGTTTCCCTGCTGCTCCCAGCTGACTCAGACTAACCTACCTCTTCCAACTTCTGCTCTTCCTTCCCAGGCCTTGTATCGTTCTGACAGTATGCTTACAGCAGAGTGGGCACAAGTGTCATACCACCATGACGTTTGTGCCCATGGTGATGTCTGAGCATTGGTAATGACTAGGAAGGTTACAGAAGACTTTCTCCTGTGGACTCTTTCTGGATCCAAATAAATAAAAGCCCCCATGGGCCATATAGGCCCAATAAAATATTAGCTATTATCAGTAATTTTTTTTTATTTTATCATTCAGTGTGAGGTTGATACAAATACCAAGGGGTAAAGAGGAAAAGCAGGGAAGATTGAGTTATGGCCAGGACACTGGCTTGGCAGAGAGAGATAGACAGATAGAGAGAGAGACAGAAAGAGAGAGAGAGAGGGAGCTTCCACATGAAAAAATACAAGATGAGAAATGGTCTGACCATGAGAAGTTGAGCAATGGAAAAAGAGACCACTATAGGCTTGGCAGGGAGCCAGAATCACAGAGATTTGGAGAGATTCAGCCACAAGTGTGGCTGGAAGCCGAAGAGAGAAAGAAGTCTTTTGTACATCTTCCCTCCATCCCTCCTGCTACTTGAGATAACATGGCTTAGTGGAGAAAGGGGGCAAAGAAAATAGAATTAGAAAGATAATTTCATTTCAAAGTAAAATTGTAATAAAATGTGTTTTGTTGGATACACATGGTCCATCTAATGCTAGAAGACCAGGATTCAGATCCTAGCTTTTCCATTTACTACTTGTATGATACTTATCTTTTCTGGACCTCATTTTCCTCATCTGTAAAATGGAGAGGGGGGGAAGAGAAAAGGAATAAGCATTTATTAAACACCTACTGTATTCCAGTCTCTGTGCTAAGCACTTTACAAATATTATTTCATTTGTTCTTCACAACAACCATGTGAGGTGGGTGCTATTATTGCCATCCTCAATTTATATTTGAGGAAACTGAGGCAGACAGAAGTTAATTAACGAGTAATTGAGCTAGTAAGCACCTGAGGCTGAATTTGAATTCAGGTCTTCCTGACTCCAGGCCCATGGCTCTATCTGTTTTAGATCTCACCTTCACAGATTTAGAATTGAAAGGGGTCAGGTGTTACTTGTTCCAGCCCTGTCATTTTATAGATGAGGAAACTGAGGCCAATTTTTATTTTATACTTGCCCCCTGTCATTTTATAGATGAGGAAATTCATGCCAGTCCTTTCTGTCTCTAACTCTGTGATCCCATTTCCAGTCTACTCACTAAAAGACTGATTGATTACTTAATCCCCAAGCAGGCTGGTTGGGAGGTTAACATCACAAATTTAAATCTGGAAAGGGGCCCTTTGAACCCTTCATCCCCCTCATTTTTGAGATGAGAAAACTGAGTAATAATGAGATTACGTGTATGCCTAGGCACAGCCAGCTGGCCAAGTATCTGAGGCAGGATTCGAACCCAGGTTAGTTCTGGCTCACATCCTTAAACTTTCTTACAGATACGGACTGTTGAACTGGAAGTCATAATAGCCAGCATTTAGAGAAGGCTTCAGGGTTTGCAAAGTGTTTACATATCATTTATTTATCATTAGACCCTCACAGCGACTCTGGGGGGCAGGTGCTGTTGTCATCCCCATTTTATAAATGAGGAAACCCAAAGTCATCAGCTGGCAAGTGTCCAGGTACCAACACTTTCACCATTCTGCCCCCTAGTGGCCTCTGCCTTTTGTTTGTCACTTTCTTCTCCCCATTGAACCCTTCTTTATAGTCAAGAAAAAGTGATTAAGCAAAACCAGGCAACTGCAGGACCCTTGAATTGTCTAAACATCATTCTGTCCTTGTCGTGTCCCCACCCCTTGACCAAAAGAAGTATATTCCTTAATGAATTTTTATTACAGAGAGGATCCAAGATTTGTTTGTTTGTTTGTTTTTTAAACAAAACAATCCTTGGTAAGACAAAACAAACCATCTGGCATCTCAGGAGCTGAGTGCAGGTCCTGTGTCTAATGCTTATTGCCTGTGTGAACTAGGAAAACTGACTTCCGCTCCCTGGCCTTCAGTTTTCTCATGTGTAAATGGAGAGGGTTGGAGTAGATGACCCCTCCTGTCCTTTCTGGCTCCATATTAGTTTGTCTTATGATCCTTACTCTCAAGAAACTTTTGATCCATTCACCAGTATAGCTGGAGGGCTGTTCTTTGGGTCTCCCTTGTTTTTACACTGTTCTTTTTTGTCGTGACCCCATTTGGGATTTTCTTTGCAGAGATGCTGGAGTGGTTTGCCATTTTCTTCAGCTCATTTCACAGATGAGGAAACTGAGTCAAATAGGGTTAAGTGACTTGCCTAGGGTCACACAACTCGTTAGTGTCTGAGGCCAGATCTGAATTCATGAAGAGGAGTTTTCTTGACTCCATACCTAGTACACTATCCACTGTAGCACTTAGCTGCCCACTTTCCTCAGTAGGATAGTACTACTATGCTTTAAAGAAAAAAAAAAACTGTATTAAGAAGACATTTATTTGTAATATTAAAACTCCATTAAGTGAAACATTTTATAGTTACCTATAAACATTCATAATTTGTATTATGGAAGGTTTTTATATTGGAACCAATTAAACTATAGAAAAGTCACTTAAACAATATAAGTCTGAGGTCCAATCCTTTTCAAGACAGATGAAAAATCAGCACTTCCATAGAAGGTCCAGCCACCTACTGATCATTTTCTCAAGAATAGGCATTCTTTATCCACGTGGTTTATTCTATGTAGATAGTGAGACTCAGCTTCCTTAGGAGACTTTGCAGTGTTGAATATATACACTATGCCCTATAAATATTTAGTCCTTTTAATATATTTTTTTTTGTTTTCATAGATTATTTGAAGAATCTTTTGGAAGACTCTGCAGATTATAGGGATACTCAAGGTATGCAACTTGTTTCATTTAACCTTTATAAGTATTAAAATGTTGATCTTTCAGAAAAATAGAGGTAATATTAACAAGTGTGGCTGCTTGTCCTTAAAGTGGCCCAATACAAGGTAAGTAATTTTATTAGATCAGAATCTGCCTCTTAATGATCCCTAAGAGGGTTGCATCTTTTAATTAAATATAGACTGATTTCATTAAAGAACTGTACAAAACAGCTGACCCCCTCCTGACTCAGTGTCCACCAGAAATCCAGCCATGAGCAAGTGAAAGTTGAATTTTCATCCCCCATCATGACATCATTATTTCTTTAGGCTACTGATGATTTCTGCCGTTAGAAGTGTTGCTGCTATGGCATTTACAGAAGGATTTGGGAGCATTTTTGTTGTTTGTTGCATTGTTTTTGTTTTTGTATTTTTCAGACCAATAAATGATTTTTAGGAAGGAGCAGATATGTAAATTGATGCAAAACATTTGCTTAGTCCTTCAGGATATTCTTAAATTCCGGACTTTCTAATGTTAAAGAACACATTTCCTAGGGAATTTAAAGATCTATTTAAAAAGTTCAAGATACATGCATACAACTTAATTTTTTTTTAATGCCAGGAGGCTCCTGTTCAGCAAATATTGCTCTGAAAATTTGTTTACTAGTTGTTCTCCAAAAAGAAAAAGATTAGAATCTTTTTTCCCAAATTAAAAAGAAAATGTTTGTGTGCAGTTGGTTGAGAGTATGTGACATATTTTTCTCCCACTCATATGAAGCTATTTCTTTTTTCTTTTTTTTGATGCTGAATTAGAGTTAGTTTTGTTTATAGAAACACTAAGTTAAATTAAAAAAAACTTTAGAAAAGAAATACCTTCTCTCTCTCTCATCTGTAAAATAGGTATATAGTAAAAAAAATATATGAAATCGGGAAGACTTGTTCAATTCCTACCTAAAAAAGATCAGAATCCTTTCAGGTGTTTTTTTTTTTAACTTTTATGTGAATGATTCTGTGTGATTAGTTACTTGTTTTATTATTTATTTTATTTCTTATTGCCCCTTAAATTTTGTAAGTCATTTTATATATGAGCACAAGGTTTGGAGTTAGACACTTTAGAGTTAAATCTTGCTTCTGACTCTTAAGTCTCTGTGTGATCCTGGCAATTTATTTCCCTGCTCTCTGGACCTGAGTCTGAATGAATGAATGAATGAATGAATGAGCATTTATTAATAACAGCACCTACCTCACAGAGTCACTGTGAAGTTCAAGTCTCATCTCTAATGCTGCCTACCTGTGTGACATTGGACAAACCATTTAGGTTACTTTCCTTAATTCTAATTATTAATTAATTATTCTAAAATGAGAGCCTTAGACTAGATCCTAGGTGTCAAACTTGGGGTCAGCATCTGAAACAAGTTAAAATTTATTTGGGAAATGTTAAACAAAGTAAATAAAAATACAACACAACACAGATAATGTTAATTTGTAGTTTTTTTAAGGATCCATTTATATTTGAGTTTGATACCACTGGAATAGATGACCTCCATCGGCCCTTCAAGCTCTAGATTCTATGATCTTTGACTTTAACTCTGTTAACTCGTCCTTTCACCGGTTGAAATAACTATATCAAAAGATGTTGAACTTGAGTGGAAAAAATCTTGGACTTAGAGGCGGGAAGACTTGAGTTCAAAACCTGTCTTAGACACTTCCCAGCTGTGTGACCTCTGTCTGCCTCAGTTTCCTCATCTGCAAAATGGGGATCACAATAACCCCTCTCTCCCAGGAGATAAATGAGATAACATATGAAAAGTGCTTTGCAAACCTTAAATAGCTATGTAAGTTCTGGTCATCATTATTGTTTTTATAGAAAATTAATAACTACCACGTTCTATCCTCACGTATTCTAGATGCCCTCGCTGTTGTCATAGAGGTTGCCAATCATGCCAATGACATCATGAAGCAAGGAGTAAGTATCTTGGGTTTACAACCTGGGGCCCATGTTCAGCTGGGAGCAAGTGCCTTCATATGCTTTTTCTCTTTCTTCCTTAGGACAACTTTCAGAAGCTCATGCAGATTCAGTACAGCTTAAGTGGACATCATGAGATAGTACAACCAGGAAGGGTGAGTTTCCTTAGGCTGCTTGCTGTGAACTGAAGAGAAAATACCACGTACTTAAGGATCATTGTCCTTTTTTCAGTTGGTCATGAAGATTAGATGGTTGTATGTGATTCCTCTTCTGACCTGGCCTCCACGGTCCCATCTAGCTTTGCTTTTCTGTGATACTCAAACTTGGCCTGGGGTTTATTATCTTGTCCCTTCTTTTAACACATCATCAAGTCAAGGACTCACAATCTTGTCATTGTTGGTACTCCTTTCGCCAACCCCTCTCCAACTCAGTAGCTGGTCTTTGAACGTCACCATAACTGAAAAATTTCATATCCTGTGACAAAGTTAGTGTGTGGTATCTCCCAACTAGGGAGAGATAAAATGAAGTCTGTCACACACTTATGTGGTAGGGAATGGCAAATGTAATCGCTAAACTGGTCCTTAGAGAACAGTTCTACAGTTGATTGCTGGGCCTCTATTGAGAGCTTTCCCTGCATGGTAGAATCTACCAGGGCTAATGACCCCTTTCTGGAAGAGCCTTTGAGAACCAGGTACTGGAAGAGGCCATTTGGGGGGCACACATATAAAAATGGTGTTGCTACTTGGTGTACTCCAGAGGGAACAAAGTTCTGGTAAATTCTAAAATGAAATCTTAGCTGTGCCCAACGCCATTTTAACTTGGAGCATCACTGGACCAGTAATGGATTTTTGAACCTCAGTCAACCTAATATACACCTCCCTTCCCTCCCATACCTACATAACCCCTATTTTATAAGAAATTGCTAGTATCAGCAGTTGACAGTTGTTCTATATTCCTGTTTTTCTCTTTGGATGGATGAACTAGGTCTTCCTCAAAGAAGGAACCCTGATGAAATTGTCTCGGAAGGTCATGCAGCCAAGGATGTTTTTTCTGGTAGGATGACTTGTTTATTTCTGATATGTCTGTTTCAGGGATCTTTGTTTAATGGCGGAGGTAAAATCTCGTCCCTCTCTGACATAAAAGCTTCGCCCAGTGGGCGAACTTCTGTTTCAGATGGAGAGTTTGGACAAATAATCTGGTTGTCTTGCACATTGGCATTTGAAATGTGACAAAATGAAATCTGTCCACATGCACTGGTGGTCTGGAATCACAAACGTAAAATCATTCCTATTTGGAACCCAGTGACCTCATTTCAAACCTGAAAGAATTAGGTTTTTGTTTTTTTTAATTCTTAATTTGAATGTCAAATAAAATGAGCATTTTCATAGTAGGACCAAAGAAGAGAGAGCTGGTTTGTACATGAAGCTGTGAATCTCTATCACATCCAGTTTGCTTTTCCTTTTAAGTACATAACAAACTTGGGTAACTTTTGAAGCTTTCCTGCTTGTCTGTGATTTTTTTTTCTAACCTTCTGTTCTCTGCTAGGCATTTTAAAAAATGCTTAAGTGACTTTCCTTTCTTTTTGAACAAAGTGATTTCAGTCTTTCCCCTCCCAAATGTAATGGCTGCTAACCGTCTCTGCAAGCACTAGTTGGCACAATGGGTGGAGTGCTGGGCCTGGAGTCGGGAAGATTCCTGTCCCTGAGTTCAAATCTGGCTTCGGACACTCACTAGCTGTGTGCCCCTGGGCAAGTCACTTCCCCCGTTTGCCTCAATTTCCTCATCTGTAAAGTGAGCTAGAGAAGGAAATGACAAACCACTCCAGTATCTCTGCCAAGATTTCAAATGGGATCGCCAGGAGTCAGACACAACTGAAACTACTGAATGACAGCAATAACAACAACCATCACTGCAATTAGATATTTTGGTGACTTTTCAATGAGTTTCTGTGATCCCGAAAACCTGTAAAATTAGGTGTAGGGATTAAACTTGCTGTGGCATCAAACTCAACTAATCTGTGTGCGAGGATCCCTGCAGTTCATGTATTGGCTTCTTTATTTTTTATTTTTTCCCAATTGCATATAAAAACAGTTTTTTAAATTAATTAAAAAATTTTTTTGAGTTCCAAATTCACTCCCTCCCTCATTGAGAAGGCAAGAAATAGGTTGTACATGTGCAGTCATGCAAAACATATTTCTGTGTTCTCCTTAGTCTTAAAATGTAATATTATATATTACATTTAATTACATAATTAATAATTATACATATTATATAATTACATATAAAGTTATATAAAATAATATTATCTGTTTTATTATGTTTTTATTTATTTTGTTAAACATTTCCCCATTTCATTTTAATCTGTAATGTGATTTAATCACTTTATAAATTTAAATGTAATCATTTCTTCTGATTAAATCATTTTAATCAATTTTCATTTTAATATGGTTGATGTCACAACCTATAGTGTTACTGGCCTCACTGGGCCAATGCATTTGAAGCCTTCCATGTACAGAACTTCTAGATGAGGAAACTCTCTCTGCCAGCTTCTTTGTAATTTAGTCTCAGTAAGTTGCCTAGGGCGCTGAGGATTTTAAGTGACTTACCCAGGATCTCATAGCTAAGATGTGCCAGAGGTGGAATATGAATCTGGATCTCCTTAACTCCAGATTCGATGTGCTAGTCATTGTACTAAAAGGCCACTCTTTATGCCCTCTTCCTCCTTCCTTGTTTTGGACCAGACTTGTGATCTCACTGGTATAGGAACAGTTAATAAAAAAACTCCCAATACCACTACAGATAATAGTTTGACCAGAGAAGAAAGTGTGAATACAGTAAATTTTGCAGAGGCAGAAAAATCAGGAGACTTGATTTATGATTGAATGAAGAAGAGGGAAGGCCAAAGATCACTTGAAGATTTGGAGGTTGTGTAGGAAGAGAATAGTAATAATAATAGCTAACATGTATATAGCACTTACTATGTGCCAGGCCCTATGCTAACACTTTTTACAAATATTATTTGATCCTTACAACAACCCGGCAAGGTGAGTGCTATTTCATAGTATTTTTAATGTTTTATGTAATATAAAAATATTTATAATCTTTTATAACATTTTGTAAATGAGGGAACTGAGATAAACACAAGTTACGTGACTTGCCCAGGCTCACACAGCTAGTGTTTGAGGTCAGATTTGAACTCAGATCTTCCTGATTCCTGGGCTGGTGCTGTAACCTCTGAGCTCACTTAGCTACCCCTTTTAGCACTGTGAACAGAAATTTTAAAATTGGGAAGAGAAGGAGCAGGTTTAGGGGAGAACACAAGTTACCCTTTTAGATAATGAGTTTGGGGCACTAACAAGATACAGAATTAGAGATTCAGAGATGCAGCAGAGAGGAAATTGGGGCAGGATTTGGGAGTCAGGCATACAGAGTTTGAAGAAACAGTAACAACTGGAGAGCAGGAAAAAGACAAGAGAGCAGGGAAGGAGACTGAGAAGGAGCCAGCAGACAGGTTGGAAAGACCCAAGAGATGCTGGTGTCATGGAAACCAAGGGTGGAGAGCATCCAGTCAAATTTAGTTCAACAGAAATTCACTTTGGCAAATAGGAGGAGAGAATGGTCAGCTATGGTGGATGTTGCATAAAGATCAGAAAGAATAAGGACTTAGAAAAGGCCATCGTATTTGCATTTAGGAGGTGTCTGTGGAGAAAGTGGTTTCAGTGGAGTAGGGTTTGGAGGCCAAATTGTAAAGGGATTAAAGACTGGGCTGGTGATGAAAAAGGCAGAAGTGGTGAGTGTGGACCAGTCTTAGACACTTAGGGAGAGCAATTGATACATTTCTGTACTCAGTGCTATACTCAGTGATCAATGCTATGACTAACCATGGCTTTAGAGAATTGATCATGAGGCATGGCTCTCCTTTGTCAGCAGGGAAGTGGGGGATCATGGGTGCAGAGTGAGGCAACATGTGGTCAAAAGAATGCTGGATTGGGAGTTAGAAGATGTTGGCTTGAATATTGGTTCTGCTGCTTAAGCCCTATGTGACCATATGCAAATCAATTAACCCTTTAAGGCCTTACTCATAAAGTGAGAATGAGCTCTAAACTCCCTTCTTGCTCCAAACCAAGGGGTTCTTAAACTTTACTGTGCTCTTTGAGAAGATTCTCAGAATCATGTTTTAAGTACATGAAATAAAAAGGATTGCAAAGGAAACTCATTATATAGAAATATTTGTCAAAATATTAATAAATATTAGCTAATTAATAAAATATTGATAAAGATATTTATTAATAAAATGTTAATATAAAAGACCTGAGGTTAGCAACCTTTGCTCTTGACGTGTGTCTCTATCACCCAGTGATATTGCCAGTATGTTTCATCAGCTTTTCTTAAATGAACATATTTGTTAAAAGACAGTTATATGGGAAATGGAGAGTTATTAGTGAATGACTATGGTATTTTAAGAAAACATTAAAAAAATTAAAAGTTTAGCTATAGCCTCAGACACTTACTAGCTGTGTGATCCTAGGCAAGTCACTTAACCCAATTGCCTCCGAAAAAAAAAAAAGTTTAGTTGTAAAGACAGGAAAGCCGAAGGACAATTGGCATTGGATGAGATGGCAATGAAATGTTTTTGTTTTTCCTTGAAATATCTATTATTGATATGTGATTGTAATGAAATATTATCGTGCTATAAAAATGATGCACAGGATGATTTCAGAAAAACCTCAAACGACTTCCATGTATTGATGCAAAGTGAAGTGAGCAGAACCAGGAGAACATTATACGCAGTAAAAAACAATATTATACAATGAGGAATTGTGAATGACTTAACTATTCTCAGCAATACAATGATCCAAGACAATCTCAAAGACTTCATGAAGAAAAATGCTATCCAACGCCAAATAACTGATGGCATCTGAATACAGACCAAAGCAAACTATTTTTCATTTTCTTTCCTTCTTTCATTTCTTTCTTTCTTTCTTTTTTTTTTTGGTTCAAGTTTTCTTCCACAAAAAGACTAATATGGAAATACGTTTTGCATAATTACACATGTATAACCTATATCACAGGGAGGAGGGAGGCAGGGGAAGGAAGGATAGAATTTGGAAATCAAAAGTTAAAAAAATTGATGTTAAAAATTGTTTTGATGTGTAATTGGGCAGAAAAAATAAAATATTATTTAAACAAAAAGAAATACCTGTTGTCAAGAAGACATGGTCTTAAGCCCCTCATGTGTATCTTCCACATATCTATAGCTAATGTTTTTTTTTTTTAATTTACAATCTTCTTTGATGTGTGTTTCCCTTTGCAGTTTAATGATGCTCTCTTGTACACAACCCCGGTGCAGTCTGGGATGTATAAACTGAACAACATGCTTTCTTTGGCTGGAATGAAGGTGAGTCAATGAGATCATTACTGAGTTTTTTAGGGCAGCTCTGTGACACAGTGGATAAAATGAGCTGGAGAAGGAAATGGCAAGCCGCTCCAGTATCTCTGCCAAGAAAACCCCAAATGGGGTCACGAAGAGTTGGACACGACTGAATGTGTCCAAACGGAACAACTTTTTTTCTTGGTATTTTGACATTAATTATATTTGAATGAAAAAAACTACTTAAAAGAGGGCTCATAAATAGAACCTAATATTGCTGGTCTTAGAGTCAAAGGAAATTATTTACTGCTTTCTGCTACCTGACTTACAGTGGATATGTGGTCATGCTACTATCACCTTCTCCCTGTGTGACCTTGATGAAGTCACTAAACTTCTCTAGGCCTTGGTTTTCCCATCTTTACAATGAGGGATTACCTTTGAAGTAATTATATTACCTTTGAAGGTAATTACATTATTAATTACAAAAACAAAACAGAATAATTAATAAAGGTAATTACATTACCTTTGAAGTCCTTTCCAGCTCTAAATCTATGCTCCTGTGAAAGAGAATTATAGTCACATATTGATTACTTGGGTAAATGATCTTTGGTTTGTTCAGTCCCTGGCCCTTGTCCTTGAGAATAAGCTAGACAGTGTAGCGTCTAGATTGTTGTTGTTTGTCCTTCATTCCTGAAGAGGACCAATGACATCATGAGGGTGATATCTTGACTTGAGCATGAATTGTGTATAGAACACTGGACTTGTAATCAGGAAGACTCAAGTTCAAATACTGCCTCAGACTCTTACTGTGTGATCCTGTTCAAGCTACTTCTCTCAGTCTGTTTCCCTCTCTGTAAAATGGGCATAATAGTAATAGCCCCTACCTCTGAGGGTCGTTGTGAGAATTACATAAGATAACATTTGTAAAACATTTTACAAACCTTAAAAATGCTATGTAAGTGCTAGTTGTTGTTGTTGTCGTCCTCCAGTATAGCCTTGGCTCACCCTGACTTTTTATAATGTGCCTGCCTTGCCCCGGTGCATACTGGACAACGTCCTGGAGCGTTTTCATTTCAGGCTCCTCACCCTCTTCCACTTTCTCTTCTGCGACTCCCTCAGAAATCCTCTTCAGCTAGGGATGGGGAGAATGTGGTGACTTTTAGCGGCAGAGGCAGGGGCTTTCACAGGTTGGGGGAAGGATGGGCAGCTGATAAGATTTTTCTTTTGTCTTCATTGTAGGTTAGAAAACCAAACCAGGAAGCTTACCAGAATGAGCTGAAGATTGAAAGTGTGGAACGTTCCTTCATTCTCTCAGCCAGGTAAAAAATAAAAGCAACAAAACAAAAAAAACCTTGAAAAACGATCATTATTATCAACGTTGTAGGTTCAAATATGGGGGGGGATTATTCCTTTGAACTTGAACTTGGGGGCTTCAGGGTTGGTTTTTTTTTCCTGCTTTTCTTTTTGGATGCCCTGACAGTATCTCTTGGTTGTGAGCTGATTGCTGTCATTTGAGAGATACGCTGTGCTATATTGGAGAGAGCATTGGTTCTGGGTTCAGTGAGAGCTTGGGGTCAAGTATTACTTTTATTGGGGTAGCTCGGTGGTATAGTGGATAGAGTGCTGGGCCTGCAGTCAGGAAAATTCATCCAGTCTTAGACACTTACTAGCTATGTGACCTTAGGCAAGTCACTTTACCGTGTTGGCCTCCGTTTCCTCATCTGTACAATGAGCTGGAGAAGAAAATAGCAAACTTCTCTGGTATCTCTGCCGAGAAAACCCCAAATGGCGTCGTGAAGAGTATGACACAACTGATATGACTGAACAGCAACAATTTACCTTGAATTTTTTTTGAGAAAATTTTTTGTCTAAATTATTTTTTGGACTTCAGCTGTCTGGTAATCTTTAGAGAGTAGTATACAATCTCTCCTAGCCTACCCTTCTAGGGAAGATGTGAATCACTCAATCAGAAAGCATTTATTAAGCACTTATTATATGCTAGAAATACAAATAAGAAACAAAACCAGTTCCTGCCCTTAAGGAACTTACATTCTAATGGAAGAAAAATTATGTACATATGTTTACATATGTGTAATGCTTACATACATGTTCAGTGTTTATATAATATTCAAAAAACAATGTAACATTGATGATTTTTTGGTATTTTGTGACAAATTTAAAAAAAAACAAACAAAAATTGTGTTTCATATCATGGCTACCTAGATATTTACTATTAGCAATATGGGTTTTCTTATGTAGTCTAGTTTCTCTTTCCATAGAGACATTAGGAAATCAATCGTGAGATTATAGGACTTTTCAAACTGGAAGGGGACGTTTAAGGTCATCGAATTCAACTCCCTCATTTTACAGCCAAGCAGATGACTGTTTCTTCCATATTTAGCCACACTGCATTGGTGATCCCTTTTACAAGAAGGCAGCTTTTGTTTGCTTATTTAAAAATCCCTGTTTACATGATTTGAGCAATAAATTGCCCGTGTCCTCTTCTCTTGGAATAGCAGAATTACAGTGCGTTTTCAGATGTCATTGCCTCATTTTTTAACACCCCTCCTCCCTCCCCCAAATTGTTATGATCCCAGAAAAACTGACCGAAGAAGCCTTGTCTTGTCAACTGAGGAAAGAGAAGAAGTGTGATCATCATATACGTAAAGAGATATCTTTTCATTTCCACACTATACTATGGAAGCATTTCTTCTCATTCTTTCTTGGTTTGTTTTTTTCCCTCCCTTAGAGTGATAGTTTTCTGCATATTCCTTTTGATTCTACTCTTGTCAAAATTCTAGAAGTATTTGTCGTTTGTAAATGCTTAGAAAGGAAATTGGTGATTGTTGGGTGCCAAGATGTAGGTTAACAGAGAACATTCAAACACACATTTATTAAGCACCTGCTACACATCAGGCATCATTCTAGACTCTGGAGATACAAGGGAAGAAGGGAGATGGTCAGTCCATCTCCTCCAGGGAGACACAGTGACTGATGCCTGGTGGAAAAATCGAGGCCAGGAGAACAGAGATGTAAAAGGACTGTAGTCATGTACGTAAGACATAGCTAAAAGACAATGGAATTCATATAAAAATGTAGTGAGTGAGCAGTATTAGTTTCAAAGGACAAATACTGTAACCTGTTTCCTTCTTCGTTGGTTGTTGTGATTGTCCTTCATTCTCGAAGAGGACCATGACATCAGGGAGATGATGACGTGACTTGCAATTGACTTTGATTTGAGTGAGGGAGGGCTGTGCAAGGTCACCAGCCTCACTTTCTCCTCCAGAGCCATCCGGGTCCAGTGGCCAGATATTCATCAGGATGACTGGAGATAGCCCATTTCCTCTTGGGAGAAAGGTGGTGGACTATGGGTGCAGAGTGCTATATATTGCATTAGTTTAAATGAATGTTTCAGATGGTTTTACTTGAGTGTATTTGGAGTGGTAATGGTAGTGGATTTCTAGGAAGTGATTGTGGTGTAAACAATGTAGTGATAAAGCATTTTTTTCTTCCTTTATAATTCACTTCAATTTATTCATTCATTTATTTTAACATCCTTTTTTAAAAATTGTGAGTTCCAAATCTTCTCCCTCCCTCCCATCTCTCCCACAACCATTGAGAAGGCCAGCAATGTGATATGAATTATACATGTGATATCATGCGTAACATTTCCATATTGGCCATGTTACAAAAAATAATAAAACAAAAAAATAAGAAATTGAAAATGTATTCTTCAGTCTTCACTCTGACTTCATCAGTTCTCTCTCTGGAGGTAGATAGCATATGGGTCCTTTGGTATTATCTTGGATTATTGTATTAATCAAAGTAGCTAAGTCTTTCAGAGTTGACCATCAATATTGCTTTTACTGTGTACAATGTTCTCCTTGTTCTGCTCACTTTACTCTGCATCAGTTTATACAAGCCTTCCCAGATTTTTCTGAATTCCTCCCGCTCATCATTTCTTATACATAATAGGTTAATACTATATTAATACACTCATTTTTTCATTACTTCTGTTACTTTTTGCTTTCTGGGCCACCTCCTTTCTCTTCCCTTTGTATCTCTAGCATCTAGCACAATATCTTGTACACAATGGAAACTTAATATATTTTAAATGTTGATTAATTGGAAAGCACACTGCATGTGAGCTCGGGGATTATTGATTTGAATCCCAGCTCTTCGGCTCATCACCTTTGGGAAGCCGGGCCATTCATTTAACTTCCTGGGCTTCGGTGTCATCACCTGTTAAGGGCTCTGTTTTAAGTGTGATCTTATGAGTTTATATTGCATAAAGAGTTTCCTTGGAAGTCCTTATGCTTGCAAGTAAAAAGTAAATCCACACTCCAAGCCTTCTCTGGGAAAGTTATGCCAGCTTTATTTGGTGAGTGAGATTCAATTAACCCAGTATTCAGATGGTTTTACTTGAGTGTGTGTGGAGTGGTCCGGTAATGGATTTCTGGGAAGTGATTGTGGTATAAACAATGTAGTGATAAAGCATTTTTTTTTTAAAAAGAAGGTTTAAAAGAAAGAGTCAGCCAGACTACTTTTATTGCTTTTTTTGAGAGTGTTACCAGACATCCTGATTAGTTCATTGCTCTAGTCTGAGAATTCTTGGATTTTAACAGAGTATTTAACAATATCTCTCATAAAATCCTTTTAAATAATAAGGTATTATGTTCAGTTATTTTTCAGTTGCGTCTGACTCTCCATGACCCCATTTGGGGTTTTCTTGGCAAAGATTTCCTTTTCCTTCTTCAGCTCATTTTACAGATGAGGAAACTGAGGCCAACAGGGCTAAGTAACTTGCCCAGGGTCACGCAACTAGTAAGTGTCTGAGGCCAGAATTGAACTCAGGAGGAGTATTCCTGACTCTAGGCCCAGAATTCTATCCATTGCAGCGCCACCTAGCTGTCCCAGAGGCAGTATGCCACAATGAAGAGTTTATCTCCAAGTTAGAAGATCTGGGTTCAAATCCTGCTTCTGACACATGCTGGTGATATAATCGAGGCCATACCAGTTGAATTCTCAGTTCCCAAGCAGTTGTATAAGACTGTTAATAACAGAGAAAGTGTGCTTATCTGTACTAGTAAAGGAATTTCCTCACTTGGGAGTACTCTGTACAAGGGAAATAACAGGTCCAATAAGAAAAAAAAATCCTCATAGACAAGGTGAAAAACTCTGGGCTAGATAGTATAAAATTTATGTAGCTTGTTGTTTAGTTTTTGTTGTGTCCAACTCTACATGACCCAGTGGACTTTTTTTTTTGAAAGACGCATGCGTTTGGGAGTTAAAAAAAAAAGTCTAGGGGCAGCTAGGGGGCACAGTGGATAGAGTACTGGCCCTGGATTCAGGAGGACCTGAGTTCAAATCCAACCTCAGACATTTGACACTTACTAGCTGTGTGACCCTGGGCAAGTCACTTGACTCTGCCTCATCAAAAAAACAAGGAAAAAAAAATCTTCTGTCAATTTTAAGGTAAGAATTAATAATTCCCAGGAACTAGTGCCATTCTTAAACCTCTTTCTCACCAAGTTTTTAAACCCATTTTTTTCTTGAAGGCAGGAATTTACTATTCATTGACCTCGAGCTGGAAGGAACTTCAGAGGCTATCTATTCCAACCCCCTTATTTTACAGATGAGGAAACTGAGGCTCAGAGAGGCTGTGACTTGTACAAGATCACAGACGTAGTGTATCCGTATTGCCCAGCATGTTGTAGGCACTTGATAAATGCCTTCTGATTTATTCTTGGACATTTTTATATTTTTTATATTTTATATTTTATATTTTTATATTTTTTTATATTTTTATATTTAATTTTTATTTTTTCTCAATTATGTGTAAAACAAAATTTTTAACACCTTTTTTTTAAATTTTAAGTTCCAAATTCTCTCTGATCAATTCCTGTCCTTTCTTTCTCATCTAATTTTTATTTTATTTTTTTTCTCAATTACATGAAAAAAAAATTTAACATTCATTTTTTTTTTAAGTGAGGCAATTGGGGTTAAGTGACTTGCCCAAGGTCACACAGCTAGTGTCAAGTGTTGGGTCTGAGGCCGGATTTGAACTCAGGTCCTCCTGACTTCAGGGCCAGTGCTCTACCCACTGCGCCACCTAGCTGCCCCAACATTCACTTTTTAAAATCTTGAGTTCTAAATTCTCTCCCTCCCCCAGTCCCCTCATCCTTCCTTTTTAATGTAAATTTTATGTAAATTATACATGTGCATTCATACAAAACATTTCCATGTTAGCCGTGTTGCAAAATGCCTACCAAAAAACCAAGAATAATAAAGAAAGTAAAAAAAAATTATGCTTCATTCTGCATTCAGACTCCAACAGTTCTTCCTCTGGGAATGGATAACATTTTTCATCATAAGTCCTTTGGAATTGTCTTCGATCATTGTATTGATCAAAATAGCTAAGTCTTTCACAGTTAACCATATTGCTGTTACTGTGTATAATGTCTTCGGACATTCATTTTCAGCTTTTAAGGGGAGTTGATGGTAAAATAGATTTTGCTATTATAAGAACTTACTTCTCAGATAATTGTAAAAATCCAGCCATTCTGTAAACTTGTCCTACGTTTTTCTCCTTTGGTTTCATTCTAGCCAGATGCTTCCTTAGTCAGTCAGCCCATCAACTTTTATTAAGCACCTACTGACGTATCAGATACTGTACTAAACACTTTGTACCTATAAGATTGACTGCTTCCTAGAGCTGAAATATCTGCACCAGATAATGAATGTTTATGTTGGAACATTTGCGAATTGGGTGCAGTTAGTGACAAATCTTTTTCCAAGAACTCGTAAACATTTGTTCTGGCAAAAGGCCTATAAGGGAAAGAAGACACTTTTAAATGAAAGGGTATCATTTGTAATTTAATGTGTGAAATTGAATTATGTGATGGGGCATTTGGAAACCCCTACCCCTGAGGCTGTTGGGGCAATTCTTACATTTAGTGAATTATGGGTCTTTATCTCTGCCCTATCCCTATTTTCTGTTACTTTTTATAGAAGCCCATGTGGGAAAACTCTCAGGTGAGTCTCTCAGGAAGTCTATGAGTGGGTTTTCTTGTGTTCTATGTAGGCTCAAGAACAGGAGTTCAGAAAGGGTATTAGCTCAGAATAAAAAAATAGCAAGCCACAGTAAAGTAAATTTGGGGAATTCCATCAAGGGCTTTTGAATTGATCTGGAATTCAAGATTCAGAATAAGCCACCCAGTTTTTGAGCTGGCCAGTGTGGGAATTTCTTTTGCTTGACTGTGTATATTTGTTACAAATTTCTGTTTCTTTCCCCCCACCCCCACTGGGGGACAGATTAGAGGCAGAGAAAGCAAATAATTTGTTAAGTGAAAATGAAAATATGTGAATCTACCTAGAAGGGTTTTTTCTCCAGAAGTTCAGAAAGGCAGAGGGCAATTTTGTTATTTCCATGCTAAATTTAATGTATACTTTTTTTTTTCTTGTGAGGCAAACAGGGTTAAGTGACTTGCTCAGAGGAACAAAGCTAGTAAGGGTCTGAGGCTGGATTGGAACTCAGATCTTCCTGACTCTAGGCCCAGTGCTCTATCCACTGCACCACCTATCTGCCCCATTGCTCTTGCTAGTTACTCCTTTTTGCATTATAGTTACTCTAGTTACTCTGTTTTGCATTATATCCTAAAATGCTTTTCATGATCACTATAGATTCTATAAATCACATCTCATAAAAGCGAGAAAGAACCTTAGACACCATCTCATCTTTCCCTCTTATCTTGCAGGTGAGGAAAGTAAAGGCTAGAGGGTTGACTGACTGGTCCAGAGTCGTAGAGAGAATAAGTGGCAAAGCTAGGATTGGAACTTAGGTCCTGCGAATTCAGATACAATTCTCTTTCCATGCACCATACACCTCTGCAATTTTCAGGGTTCTTAGTATTCTATATTCTGAATCTGGAACCATCAGGGCTTTGATATATTTTGTAGAAGTTTTGAAGAAAACAACCTTATATTGTATTTCAATTAATAAACAATTTTTTTCTCCCTCCCATTCCCATTTTAAAAAGAAAAAGAAGAAAATTCTTATAACAAATCTGCATAGTTAAGCAAAAACAAATTCCTGCACTGGCCATGTTCAAAAATGTATCTCGTCCTATACTGTATCACCTCTCTGTCACTAGGAGGGTAGCAGGCTTCATTATCTGTTTTCTGGAATGGTGGTTGGTTGGTTACTGCATTAATCAGAGCTCTCAAGTGTTTCAAAGTTGCATGTCCTTACAGTGTTACTGTAATTGTATCAGTTTTTCTCCTGGTTCTGTTCACTTCACTCTGCATCAGTTCATAAAACTATTTGGAGAAATTTTTAAAAATTCCTTTTATTATGACTCACAAATCTCCTTGGTTATTTTTATATCTATATCGATATATAGGTGTGTGTATATGTGTGTGTGTGTGTGTGTGTGTGTGTGTGTGTTTATATAACATGTATGTGATTCACAGTACAGGGCAGCTAGGTAGTGCAGTGGATAGAGTGCCAGGCCTGGAGTCAGGAATACCTGAATTCAAACCCGGCCCCAGATACTTACTAGCTTTGTGACCCTGGGCAAGTCACTTAAACCCTGTTTGCCTCAGTTTCCTCTTCTGTCAAATGAGTTGCATAAGGAAATGGAAAACTACTCCAGCATCTCTGCCAAGAAAACCTTAAATGAGGTCCTGACATGACTCATATGACTAAACAATAACAACAACAACCCACAGTACACCTTTTTACATTATGAGCGTTGGAAGGTATTGTAGCAATCGGGTTATCCAGTATCTTCTTTTTACGGTTAAGAATACTAGGGCCCCAAAATACTGGGAGATAGAATGATAGAATCATAAATTTAGAGCTAGTAAGGATGGTAAAGGCTGTTGAATCCATCCCCCCATTTTATAGATCAGGAAACTGAGCCTTGGAGAAGTTAAATGACTTGGTTAGAGTCACCCAGCTAGTAAGTGTCTGAGAGGTAATTTGGACCCACATCTTCCTGGCTCCAGATCCAGTGCTTTATCCAAGGGATTTGTTCCAGGTCATCATATAGGGAGCAGAGAATTTGAAAGCAGGTCCTCTGACTCCATATTCCTTTGTTCTTTGACCTTTAGCCCAGTCGCTTCTCAGTCATTATTTGGGAGATTATCTTTTATGGAAAGGATCATGTTTCTGAGTCCCAACTCAAACCTTACCTTCTGCAAGAGGCCATCTCCAGGCCCCTGGAATGCTAGTCACTTCCCTCAGAGATTGCTTTCATCTTTTCCTGTACGTTTCTTATATGTATGTAGTTGTTTGCATCTTATGTCCCTCTCTTAGAGTTGAGGCTCTTTACTGAAGAAATTTTTAATTTTTAAATTTTTTTTAATTTGCTTTTTAATTTTTTTTGTACCTGCACTCTGCAAGGTGCTTTGCTTGCATATTGTGAGGACTTAATAAGTACTTGTTTATTATTATTATATCACATATAATATATGTAACATAATATATTATTATATATCATATGTATTTTAATATACTATTGAAGTAGGAGAGCCTGAAGTGCCCCTTTAAGAATAAAACTAGACTAATGTGATCACTTGGGATGAGATGTCAAAAGATGTTTGGTCATCAGAATGCCCCAGGAGCCTTAATGCTTATAACTACTTATGATCAGTCATCATGCCTCAGAGGTCATGCCTTCAGGAAGGGAGAACTGTTTTCAATCCTCGGAGGATGAAAGAGAGTTCCCCGATGTGCGAAACTGATGTGATGGAAAAGAAACAGATGAGAACTGACTTCTGGTTAATGGAGCCTCCCTCTTCTGCTTTCAGCTCTGCTACAGAAAGGGATGAGTGGCTAGAAGCAATCTCCCAGTCAATTGAAGAATACGCCAAGAAGAAAATCACATTCTGCCCCTCCAGAAGTCTCGATGAGGTATAATGTTCTCCTTCTAACCTTTTTTTAAATCAGCTAAAATGATCTTTTATTTTAATGGCTGATTGACATGTTTGTTTGTTTTTTTAAATATCACTGTCCCATCTTAGTGCTCTTCTCCCCATTTGAACCTGATAGAGCCCTCCCTTGTGGCTAATAATCATAGTTAAACAAAAACAAATCAACATTTGCTTGTGTCGGAAAATGTAATTGTAACCCGATAGCTGTAATCTAACCAGACTTCTGAGATGCAGGAAGAGGGCTTGCTTCATCATTGGTTAGAACTGGTCGTGGCATTCTTCAGAGTTCCAAAGTCTCTGTGTTGTTTTTCTTTACATGATTATGGTTCTCATGTAAATTCTTGCCTTGTACAATTATGGCTAGCAGGAGTATCCTTTTTTGTTTATTTAGTTTTTTTTTTTCAAATGAAAAAAAAAATCTGTTTTCCTTTATTCCCACTTCCCTATTAAAAGAAAAAAAGGGAAAAACTCGTCTTGTAATAAATATGCATGGTCAAGTGAAACCCTTTCCTGCTTTGGCCGTGTCTGATTTTGTACCTGTTAGGGGGTGGGTATCAGGTTTCATCATCTCTCATCTTTATCATGCTAAATCATCCAGCTCTCTGGAATCATGGTTCATCCTTGCACGAATCAGAGTAATGAAGTATTTTTAAATTATTTATCTTCACAAAATGTTGATATTGTGTAATTTGTCCACTTCGTTCTGTTCCCTTCACTCTGCATCAGTTCATAAAAGTCTTCTCAGGTTTCTCTGAAACCATCCCTTTCATCATTTTTTGTGACATAATAATGTTTAATTCATTCATATGCCATACTTTATTTAATTACCTTTCAATTGAAGGGCACTCCATTTGTTTCTAGTTTTTTGTCACCACAAAAAAAGAAGGGCTATAAATTTTTTTTTTTACCTGTGGGTCCTTCTCCTCTTCCTTTGATCTCTTTTGAGGATAAATCTACTAATGGTATTACAGGGTCAAAGGGTAAGCACAACTTAGTAACTATGGGGATATAGAAAGAGCATTCTTAAATTCACCATTATCATCATCATAACTAGCATTTCAATAGTGCTTTGGAATTTGCAAAGCACTTTACAGTTGTATCTCATTTTATCCTTGGAGGTAGGTGTTATTATTTATCTCTATTTTACAGATCAGAAAACCAAGACAGATAGGGGTTAAGTGACTTGCGCTGGGTTATACAACTAGTAAGTATCTGAGGCCAGATTCGAACTAAGGTCTTTCCCCAGCACTCTATCATCATCATAACTAGTATTTCAATAGTGCTTTGAGATTTGCAAAGCACTTTACAAATTGTATTTACAATTTACAAATTGTATCTCATTTTATCCTTGCAACAATCCTTGGAGGTAGGCAGATAGGGGTTAAGTGACTTGCCCAGGGTCATACAACTAGTAAGTATCTGAGGTCAGATTCTAACTACGGTCTTTCCGACTTTAGACTCATCACTCTATCCATTGGGCCACCCATATGTCCATAAATAAAGAGCAGGGGCCATTTCCAGTTGTCCTGGTCTATATCTCGCCACTGGACCCAGGTGACTCTGGAGGAGAAAGTGAGGCTGGTGACTTTGCACAGCTCTCCTTCACTTAAATCCAATTCACTTTTAAGTCATGGCATCACCTCCCTGATGTCATGGTCCTCTTCAAGAACAAAGGGCAAACAACAAGCACAACAGATAAGGAGCAATGGTGAACAGAAAAGATAAAATAGACAATTCCAATTACATAGCAAAATCAGTAGAAAATCAAGCAATTATTTATAGAAAAAGGCCTTATAACAAATATCTCTGGTAAAGACCAGATAGTCAAGGAATGTAAGAAATTGATTTAAACGTGAGAACAAGAGCTATTTTAAGAAAGTCACTAAAACTGTACCTACTTTTTGACCCAATGGTACCACTACTAGGCCCATACCACAAAGAGGTAGAGGTGGGGGGAAGGTCCCAGAGATACCAAAATATTTATAGCAGCGCTTTTTACAGTAACAAAAAACTGGGAAAAAAGTGGGTGATTTGGGAATGGTTGAATAAATTAAACAGGGAAGCTGTTCCTGAAGGATTGATATAGAAGATACAGGCAAAAAACTTAGATGAGAGTAATGGGCATATGAACTTGATGGAGTATTTTTGCATTATAAGAAATGAGGCATTTGAAGAATTCAGAAAAACCTGGGAAGACGTGAATGAATTGATAAAAAGAGAGCAAGGAAAATAGGTAATTTACCCAGTGACCATAATAATGTAAAGGAGAAGAAATTGAATGGCTCAGATTTATTAAGCATTAGTCCACTATAAGCCCATTATGGACATAATTGTCATTAATTCACTAAGCATTCATTAAGTTCTTGCCATGTGCTGGGAATTATGGGTACAAAGACAATGAAATTGGCCTTGCCTTCAGGGACGTAACATTCTATTGGAGAGAAACAACATGTATACTTAATGTGAATATAAAATATATTAAGTAAAATATTTTGGGAGGTGTGGTGGGGTGGGGGAAGTATAGGCCTACTGAAAGACAGGCACGGTATGAAGATAGAGAAGAAAAGGCTAGAGACAGGGAAGGGACATGAATGAGCTTGAGGGAATAGGGAGTAGTAGTGGTCCGGGAAGAGGTCTTGGGCCTAGACTGCTAACAGCTTAAAAGCATAAAAAGGATATTGGCTGAAACCATAGGAGCATAGCACTTCAGTCCCTTCAGAGTAGCAAAGTAGGGGCAGCTAGGTGACGCAGTGGATGGAGCACTGGCCCTGGAGTCAGGAGGACCTGAGTTCAAATCTGGTCTCAGACTAGACACTTCACACTTACTAGCTGTGTGACCCTGGGCTAGTCATTTAACCCCAATTGCCTCACAAAAAAAAACAAATAAACAAACAAAAAACAAACCAACAGAGTAGCAAAGTTAATGTTCTTTTGGGTTTTAATCTTAAGGCCGTTGATGGAAACATAGAAAAATAATCTGAATTTTTATTTTAATCCGATAAAGACCCGTGATTTTATCTGTGTAGGGAATTCCCTGATGAGAAAAGTTCCTCTACCAATTCAGGTCAGCATCTTGTCCTTGTAGTAGGACACATGCAGGAGTGACTGATGGGAAAAAAAAATCAGTAAAACTTTTTTAAGATGATTCTGCGAGATGGAGAAAATTAAAGATCGTTTTTTCCTTTTATTGATATGTCTCCTCCAGCTCCATGTCTTGATTCTCTTTTTTGCAGACGGACGTAGACAAGAAGGAGGAGATGAGCCCCCTGGGCTCAAAGGCTCCCATCTGGATTCCTGACATTAGAGCCACCATGTGCATGGTGTGTACAAGTGAATTCACGCTCACCTGGAGGAGGCACCACTGTCGGGCTTGTGGCAAGGTAGGGCAAGGGCATCCTCTTCTTCCTTCCAGGTCCTGTCCATTGTAAAGGAAATCTAACACTTGACAGGCATCTGAAGAGCAATGGAGTGGTCATTTCTCCAGGCCCCAGGCAAATCTCTAAGACGATAGGTTGCAGATGAGCTGGCTAGCTGCCCAGATAGATGGAGTTTCCGTACCAGAGTTGCTTATACGAAATCAAAGGCTGGACCGAAAAATATTTTTGAAAAGTATTTGCATTATATATTATGTTCCAAAACATATTCGCACAAAACACCATTGTGCTGAAAAAATACTGACTCATGATATAACATCTGGAATAATATAGTGTAAATATTGAGAGCAAAAAAATCCTATTTCAGGCTAGTATTTTTCTTCCTGTGGCTTTGAACTGTATGTAACACTCTCTCTATAAATAGGATAATATATGCCAATAATAATAATGATAATAATAATGATACTAGATTACATATGTATAACGCTTTCCTTCCAAAATTCTTTTGTATACATCCTAATTTGTTCTGTGCAATAATCCTGTAACTCACATTTAAGGATTGCAAGGAGTTTTATATATATTATTTCATTTGATCCTTTCAGCATTCCTATGAGGTGTTATCATTATCTCCATTTTACAGATGAGGAAACTAGGGCCTAACTCATTTTGGAGGCTGTCAGGGTTTAAGTGACTTGCCCAGGGTCACACAGCTAGTAAGTGGTCTGAGCCTGGATTTGAACTCTGGTCCTCTTGTCTACAGGACCAGTGCTCTATCTACTGTGCCACCTGCCTGCCCTCTTAAGTCCTAACAAGTTAATTTGTTTTATGTGTTTTCAGATTGTCTGTCAGGCTTGTTCATCAAATAAGTATGGCTTAGATTACCTGAAAAACCAGCCAGCAAGAGTCTGTGAACACTGCTTCAAAGAACTGCAGAGACTAGGTAACGAAAACTCACTTCTGCCCTTCACTAGCCCCTCTCTCCCCAACTGCTCTTGTTACCCGCTTTGCCTCTTCCTTGAGCCAGTCTTTTGAAAGCTTCCTCTTCCATAAGGGGGATTAGTAATGTTGGCCACGGTTTTAGGGAGAATAAGAGTTCAATTTAATGAATTCTTGGCTCCCAAAATTCAGCTCCAGGTGGGGCTAGACCAAAATTTACCTTCATATTAGGAGAGAAGATTTGCTGAGCAGATAATAGTGTAAATTGGGATGAGAAGCGTGATTAACAGATTAGGAGTGTAAAGAAAGAGGTCAAGGAGAATTAAAAATTAATCATATAAAGAAAGATTGCAGAGAATTTGCTTAGAACAACTTGAGAGCACATAATTTAATCTCTTTAGTTGAGAAGTAGAAATGATGATTAATATGAGGCTTATAAAATTTTTCTCTGACCATTAATGCTTTTGCTAAAGGGAAACCTTGCTAATAGGTTGTTTTAGGATCATCGATTTGGAGCTGTGAGGGACTTCTAGGCTACCGTAGCCCAGCTCCCCTCATTTTACGGGAAAGGAAACTGAGGCAGAGAGAGGTAAAAGGGACTTACCCCAGGTCACATAGGTATTAAGTCTCAGAGCTTACAACTCCAACCCATATCTTCAGATACAATATTCTTTCCTCTTAGTCTAGTTCCAATTGTTTTAAGGACCTAAACATGGTAGAATCAGATATATTTTTAAAATAAATTCTAAAATCAGTTTGAAATGTCAGTTCTTGAAAAACCTAAAAGTTTTTCTGTGGTCAAAATTTTCTGTTTTCTTGTGTGTAGCCCAGATGCTGTTAACCTTTAATTTAATTTAATTTAATTTTTCTCTTCTAAAAAAGCTTTTCTGGTAGTATTTTTGTTTTGGTTTTATTGAGAATTGGTTTTACTTACAGAGTAAGTTTACAGAGTTGGGAAAAGTTTCTCAATAAAGAAGTAAGACCTTTTTTTTTTTTTTAAGTTCTCTATTTCAGACAAACTTCACTACCACTAGGGCTGATTATACAGGGTTATAAGTTCATTCAGCCACACCAAATACATTTTGCGGTTAGTTTCTAATCTCCTCTTGTCTCTGTAACCAGAAATGACTAATTGGCTAAGAAAAGGTTTTTGGATCTGTTGTTTTACCACAGTCAGGTTTAAGATAACTACTAGGACTCCCCTAGAAGCCACCCTTTGTAGAGTCTGAACGTGGTTTATAACTGCATTGCTGAAAGATGTGTGGATTTAGGGATAAAATGATCATCATTCTTCATGCTGTGAGGACAGGCCTTTCAAGTATGTGAACGAAGGGGGTGGAGGTGGGAGGGGGTTAGAATAAACCACATGACTCAGTAGTTTAGTTCCTGCAATTTCATAAATCTGCAGTTTATTACAAACTGTAAATAGTCGGTACCTCAACTGTACATTTCTTCTGTACAGTAGATAGATATTCCTTTTCCCAATTCTCGTTATTTTTCATTTGCTGTCCCTCTCTCTCCTCACTCCTCCTCCTAGCTTCCCATCTGAGTCCCATTGTAACCAGAGATGTTAGGCATACCACTTAATTCTCTTCATGTCAGTGCCCATTCCAGCCTCAGTTTCCCTATCTGGGGAAACTCTCTTCTCTCTCTTCTCTCTCTCTCTCTCTCCTCTCTGTCTCTCTCTTTTTCTGTCTTTGCCTCTCTCTCTTGCTGTGAGAAAATCCCTTTTGCAAACTTAAAAGTAGTGTGTGTACCTGTTGCTATTGTTTTTTTCCAGAGGGCACACTGGAAAGGGTGGACGTAGGAGGATTGGAATTAGAAAAATAGGAGGCAGATGAGAATGAGAGTATGGGGGAGACGCCTCAGCACCAGGAGAAACAAGGAAAGGATTTTGTAGAGTGAATACTTTTCCCAAGGTTCTCATGAGAATGTTGATTTGTGGATCCGTCAAAGCTCTCATTCTAGCAGTTGCTTCTGGGGGACAACCAAGGGTTCTGGTGGCCAAGAGCCTGCTAGAAGTGGGAGGAGACCTTTGCTCATCCCAAATTTCAAGTGGTCCTCTGGGGGAGAGCCAGAGGTGAGAGCAGTCAGGAGGGTGCTGGATGTATGAAGAGGACTTTGCCCACCCCTCCTTCCAGGTGGATCAGTCCTTCTCATAAAGGTGCCACCTTATTCATCTCAGTCTCATCCCCAGTACAGTACAATGCCTTGCACTTAGTAGGTGCCCAGTAAATATTTGTTCAATGAATGTTTTTGAATTGATTAAATAAGCAAATGGTCATGGTTAGCTCCATAAATTGTGCATGTAATGACTCTCTTTAGATCACCAGAATTCACCCAAGACCGGGTCCCCAGCAAATCACAAATCTCCTTCAAGTGCCCTATCTTCAGTCTTGCATAGTATTCCGTCTGGAAGGAAACAAAAAAAAATCCCAGCTGCCCTCAAAGAAGTAAGTGTTGCCATTTAATTTGAATACTTGCAGATGTTGAATTATTCGTGCTTCATGGGCCGAAAGACTGGAAGGAAAGGGGATGCCAACAAGCCGGGCAGTGTTGGAACTACCATGTTAAATTGGAAATTGACAAACTGTATGTAGTGGAGATTCATGGTTCCACGTGCTGGCGTCTTTTTGAATTTTTCTTTGTACGAGTTTGTTGACCTTTGTCAAGTTCATCATAATGCAAAATAATTTTTTTTTAATTCTGCAAAGAGGGGAACCCACGAAAGTCCACACATGTGCAAAAGGTACTGAAAGGAAAAAAAAAAAATAGCCCTACCTCAGAGCATCACCTAGTGGTATGTGCAGAGAGTACCTGCCATACAATTACTGGAAAACAATCCTGGGAAGCAAATAGACATGGTGGGCCCACCTACTTGGCTCTCTGCTCTCGGTATCCATGTAAGGCAGGTGGAAAGAGGAGATCCCTTACCTTACACATGACTTCATTGCTGGAGTTCTTCTCTCAACTGCCGCTGGTTGCAGCCCCTCCAGCCTTAATTATATTGACTTTGTGAGTCACCACACCTAGTTGTCTGCTCATGGCTTTCTCCCTGTCCAGCCAGGCTGTTCCCTGTCAATTGCCAGTCCCATACCTGAAGCCCTGCCACTTCCTTGAACTGTAGTCACAGAACTTTAGAGATACATAGGACCATAGCGATCATCTGGTCCAGTCACCCCAACGGAAAGATAAGGAAACTGAGGCCTAGAGCCATAAAATGACTAACCCAGAGTTACATAGGTCTTAAGTGAAATATCTTTATGTATTCAGTCATCTCTAGAAGTTCAGACACATATTGACTTTGTAATATTTCCTCTACTCAATTTGTTGACATAAGAATTGGCAGGCTCCTTTTCTCTTCCAGAATACTGATTCTAAAGTTGAGAGGGACTAAAATCATTTCTGATTTCGTCAGCCTCCAACTAAACACTTAGCAAAAAGTCCACAACTTACATGAGGATTTTGTTCTAAAACATCATGCATCAATTACTGGTAATGTTATATTCTAATGACTTTTAGTCTGACAGATTACCAAATTCTGAGTTAATGAGATCACTTTTTTTTTCTCCTCAGTATATTTATGTACATTAAAAACCTCAAGATGTTTTCAAAGGAACCCAATCTTAATTTTTTAACTTTGGAATTTAGAATTCACTTTCTTATAAACACAGTATTATAAATGTTGGTTAGGTCAGCCCATTTGTTACTTGGTCATTTCACTTGTGTCTGACTCTTCATGACCCCGTGTGGGGTTTTCTTGGCAAAGATATTAGAATGGTCTGCCATTTTCTTCTCCAGCTCATTTTACAGATGAGGAAACTGAAACAAACAAGGTGAAGTGACTTGTCCAGTCACAAACTTGTGTCTGAGGTCAGATTCGAACTCAGGAAGCTCAGTCTTCCTGCCTCCAGGCCTGGCACTCTATCCACTGTGTCACCTACCTGCCTCGTGGACCGACCTACATGGGTGTTAAAAATGTACCAGGACGTTATTACTGTTATTTCAACCACTCATGGCATTCTTTCCAAGATGCAGGCCCAACTTGAGACACGTCCTTTGCATCCTTTTCAAGGATGATTTATAGTAGCTTAGTCTTGTAAGAAGCTGAAAAGGGCTTGCCTTTTCCCCAGCTGCACAGCTCTGGGACCAATAGAGTGATTGATCCATTGTTGGAGAGATGGAAGGGACCTTAGAGGTCAACTCGTCCAACTTCTCATTTACAAGGGAGGATGCAGGGGGTCATGCAGTGGAGTGACACAAAATCTTCAGCCCAGGTCCTTTGACTGCTGCATGAGCCCTCTTTACATTGTACTGTTTTTGTTGTTGTTCAGTTGTTTCAGTCTTCATGACCCCATTTGGGGTTCTCTTGGCAAAGATACTGGAGTGGTTTGCCATTTCCTTCTCCAAATCATTTTACAGATGAGGAAACTGAGGCAAACAGGGTGAAGTGACTTGCCCCTGGGTCATCCACCTAGTAAGTGTCTGAGGCTGCGTTTGAATTCAGGTCTTTTCTGACTCCAAGCCCAGCACTGCACCACCTAGCTGCCATTTTCATTGTGTTATATTTAGAAAATGTTATGAAGATTTGTTCCCAGTTAATTTGATTATAATTTTTCCAAGGCCTGGGAGGTGCTTAGGGATAAACATCCAGAAAAATAAAACTGGCAGCCAGTTAAAATAGTTTCCCCCATGCATTCTGAGTTTTTGTTTTGTTTTTGTCCGGATCTCTGATTTTACTGGTGAAGGGAAATCTTGGTAAGCAAGCCCCCCTGTACCAACAGATATGCAGTTTATAATCCTGAGCACTGAGTGACCGCTTTGGATCCCATAGCTATTGGCCTAAGAAGGGGAAGTTGAACCCACGTCCTAGTGACCCCAAGGCCAACCGTCTGGCCATCCTGCCTCTCTTGACCTTCTAAGTTCCAGGGGAGAGTTTAAGTGCATGAGTAATCCCTCAGATCTCCCAAATATGATTTAAAAAAACCAACAACAACCTTTTGGTCTTTGGAGTTGTATTTTTCCCTAACCACATTCATGCTGAGATTCAATCCCAGCAGTGAGTCTTAAATGAAAGATAAAAGACATTCTTTAACATCTAAAAAGTAACAGACTGAACGAAATTAGTTCTTCCACCAAATGAAAGCTTGAAGCTATGAACAGTCTGTGAAAGCCTCCCTCAGAAATGTAGCTTAAAATGAGAATGTTCTGGTTTAGAACCTTAGCTCCTAGTTGCTGTAACTTAACCCCATTTTGGCAATGATATTTATGTTGCTGTATTTGGAGGCAGGAAGTACTGGGTTAAAAATCCACCCTTTGATGCTTGCTCTGTGGCACTGGGCAATTAACCTTTACAAGACGCATCCACTAGGCTGTAGCTGTAGGTCATGTAATGAGCCAGTTGGTGCCCTCACTCATCAAAATCACAGATCTCTGACGCTCAGATTGGCTGATTTACCTAATGGTATATTTAATTTCTTATCTTAAAATCAGTGGTAGTGATAATAACTACCCCTTAGGGCTTTAACTTTTGCCAAGCTCTCTACATATGTTATTTGATTTTATTCTGACAATGATGATAATCCCCATTTTACAGATGAGGAAACTGACTCCTAGAAGTTAAATCACTTGTCCAGGGCCATAACATACAGAGCTCCATCTGTGATACTGCCTAACTGTCACTTATTAACAACGAATCACTTGTGTTGATTGTTTGTTCCAGGTGTCAGCAAACACAGAAGACTCTACCATGAGTGGCTACCTGTACAGGTCAAAGGGCAGTAAGAAACCATGGAAACATTTTTGGTTCGTGATCAAAAATAAAGTGCTCTACACGTATGCTGCAAGTGAGGTAAGAGGTTGATTCATTTCATCTTCAGATTTTAGTGTGGTGATATAGGAATGTTGGTCGGTTACTTAAGAATCCTTTTTAGAAAGAGAGTTGAGAGTGAGACAGCTTTGAATGAGCTGAACAGGAAATGGTGACTGCCATTTTGAATTCACAGGATCATGGATTTCAGTTTAGAAAGGACCATAAAGGCATCTATGGGCAGCTAGGTGGCACAGTAGATAAAGTATTGGGCCAGGAGTCAAGAATACCCAAGTTCAAATCACTTCCTAGATGTGTGAGCCTGGGCAAGTTACTTAACTCTGTTTGCCTCAGTATCCTCATCTGTCAAGTGAGCTAGAGAAGAAAATGGCAAACCCCTCCAGTATCTTTGCCAAGAAAACCCCAAATGGGGTCACAAAGAGTCAGACACAACTGAGCAACAACAAATAAAGGCCATCTAAATCCATCCCTCTTCTTTTAGAGATGAGGAAACTGAGACCTAATGAGGTTAAGTAACTTGCCCAAAATTACACAAGTTATAAGTGACAGAGCTGGATTCAAACCCAGGTCATTGATCTGAAAATCCAGCACACTTTCCATATTCCTTCCACTCTTTCTTGTTTCCTCAGTAAGGCAAATGATTAGCTCTGAGAGTCTTATTTTTTTTGTAGATTTTTAAAGGAATATTTTTTTTTTGGTCTTATAATTGGAGAACTCTTGCTAACCCAAGCAATTTCAAGATATGTTCAAAATTCCCCTTACCACTAAATAAAGCGCTACTTCTAGAATTGTGGTTGAATGACCAACCACAGCACTGGAAACTCTTCCAGAGGGGAAGGAACAGGTAGCCTCTGAAACCCCTTCCAAAGTTCTGCCTGGATGATCGCAAGGAGCCCAGGCTTTCTCTGGGAGAGGTTTTATGGAATCCTCAGCTCATCCCCCAGTCCAACAGAGGAGATGAATCCCCTAATTGACTTGAGCTGAAAGTATGCAGGTATATGCCAACGGTGATGAGATTTACACCAGTGAGTCTGGGGCATCTTGGAATATTCCTAATAGGAGAGAGGCAAAAGTGATTTTAGAAGAAGCAGGTTTTATGAATGTATCATCCAAGTCCATTTGCTCTTCCTCTCAATTAAATCTTCCTCGTTCATTGACTTTTGTCACGTCTGAGGGCAGGCATCTACAAGCCAAGGTTTGAAACTTTGAACAACATGATATAAGCTATAAAGGGGGGGGGGGGCAGATGCATGTGTAACTTTTTCCTTCTCCAAGAGACAATGTGCTTCTTTTTATGGTACATGGGTTTGTTATCCTGGGGAAGAAATGAGCTTTATAAATCTCCTCATAGAAGTTTGAGAGACATGACATTCTCCTCCAAGAATGTAATTTTGTATTGTTAATCACATCACCCTCAATTGGGTTTGACCTCTGAATTGTTTGATGTCACTGTCAGATCTTCTAATTCTTACTCATTCCTATGACCTTTAGTTAGTCCAAATCGAAGGGTCACTAATTTAGGAGACATCACAGGGAAATTATCACCATGATCACTGCTTCCATCACCCCTAAAATAATGAACTTTAGCTAATCTCTATGCCCTCATCAGCTTAGCCACTCTGAGAGAGAGATAACATGGGATAAAGGAGAAAGGACCAAACCAGGGATTAGAAACATTAGTTCTCAACCCTGCTTCTGATAGTTATTTGCCATGTAACCTTGAGCAGTCTTCACATGTTTGGTGTAGTCACCCCACTAACTCTACACCAAACATGTGAAGACTTCTTCCAGCAGAATGGACAGATGGGAACAATTTGTTCAGACGTCATGAAGGCATCTGAAGCAGGAATTGTAAGAGCTTGGTTAGACATTGGAGATGCCAAGGTCCTCCATTACATCCTGGGCTGCCCCAGTCACCATGACTGTTGTCTTGCCACTGGACTTCTGTGACTCTGAAAGAGAGTTAATAAGACTGGTGACTTTGGGCAACTCTGCCTCATTTAAATCCAATTCATGCACTAATCAAGACATCACCCCATGATGTCATTGGTCCTCTTTGAGAATGAAGGACAAACAGTACCCTTGAGCAAATCACTTTTTTGAGCCTCAACTATCTCACTCGTAAAATGGGGTCATGACCATCCTGCCTCTGCCTCCAGGGTTATTCTGGGAAGTAAATGAATGTTAATAAGTATGAAAGTTCTTGAAAAACTATAATGTGAATGGGGTCATGAAGAGCTGGACCCGATTGAAACAACTGAACAACAATGTAGAAGAAGAAGGAAGAGATCTGTTCTGCTCAGTCTCTTAAGGTAGAACCAGGAGCAATAGGTAGAAATTGAAAGGAAGTAAATTTAACCTTGATGTAAGGAAAAACTTTCTAACAATTAGATGTTTTTCCCAAACTGGCATTGGACGCAGCAGATTGCTCCCCTCTGCTGGAGTTTTCCCGGTATCTAGATTCGGCATGACTCCTTATTAAGTAGGTCACAGGGAGAGGAGATTCTGGTTCAGGTGTCAATTGTACTACGTAGGCTCCGAGGCACCTTCTAATTCTGAAATTCTGGGATATTTAGTGGGAATGCCGGTGGTTCAGCATCATCTGTAATCTTGAAACAAAATGTATCCTTTAAAAAAAAGAATACATTTGTTTCTACTTCCCTTGATTTAAGAGAAAAAAACACTTTATAATAAAAAATAATAATGAATAATAATGAATAAAATAAATTTCCATGTTGTCAAAAAAAAAATCCCAAAGCAAAAAAACAAAAAGCAACAACGAAAAAAGAATATTATACAATTTCTAAAACTGGGGTGTGTGTGTGTTTTAAAACTAGGATGTGGCAGCCTTGGAAAGTCAGCCATTATTGGGATTCACTGTTGCTGAAGTTCAAGATGAAAATTCACAGTCTAAAGTGTTCCAACTCCTGCATAAAAACGTCCTGTTCTACATGTTCAAAGCAGATGATGCTCATTCGGCTCAGAAGTAAGTCACTCAGAAGTACATTTTTTTTTTAATTGCTACCAAATATATTAACATTTGCCTCTGTACTTGACTATTTTATTTTTGTTTTTTGAAAGTTTCTTTTCCAACATCATTTTATGTTTTCCTAGTTGTATTTTAAGATAATATTTAATATTCATTTTTTAAAATTTTGAGTTCTAAATTCTCTCCTTCCCTTCCTTTCCCCTCTTCCCCCTTCCTGAGACAGTAACAATTTGATTTAGGCTATACGTGTTCTGTACTTGTTAAAATAATTAAAAATATCCGGGAGCTTTTCTAAGATTGTAAATGGCAGAGAAGGTGCCAGTCAGTTTTGGTGGAGAGAGTGTCCTCATCTGGGACTTCCCCTATGTCGGTGAAAGCATAGGTCTGGTTCCTGTTCTCCCTTTACTGTAGAGGAGATCATAGATCATAGATGAAGAGCTGTAGGGGAGGGACAATAAAAGCCTTCCAGTACAATCCTCCCATTTTGCAGATGGCGGGCTTGAGGGTCTGAAGACTGTCATTAAGTGACTTGTTATAAAAGAAGTCATCAGATTATAGATTTAGAGCTAGAAGAGACCTCAGAGGCTATCTAGTTCAACCTCCTCATTTTACAAATGGGGACACTGAGGCCTAGAGAGGTGGCATAGAGACTTGCCCAGGGTCATATAGGTAATAAGCATTAGAGACAGGATTTGAATTCAAGTCTCTCGCTTCAGAGCCAGTGGACTTTCCAAGGGACCATACTATTTCCATCAGTCTTTTTAAAATGGAAAGATGAGCATAACAGTCTGACTTTTATTTTATTTTTTGGAGGCAGTCAGGGCCACACAGCTAGTAAGTGTCTGAGGCTGGATTTGAACTCATGTTCTCCTGACTTCAGGGCTGGTGCTCTAACTACTGTGGCACCTAGCTGCCCCAGCCTAACTTTTTTAAAAAGTTTTTTTTTTTTTAAAAGAGATAGCATAGAGTGGTGGATATAAAATGGCCTCGTTGTTAGGAAGGCCTGGATTCAAGGGTTGCATCTGACACATATATGGCTATATGATGAGGGGTGAGTCAGCAGTAACTCTCTGACTATTAAGTTGTAGGAGAGTTGTTAGTCTATTTCAAATGCAAAGATTAGATTTTTAAAAATGCACAGATAAGAATAAGAGGAAGCATAGACAAGTTTTGGAAAGAAACTTGTAGAATTTATATTTTTTGCGGGGGGAAGTGAGTTGAATAAAATAGGGTTCATGGTTTCACAGAGAATCCTTGTTTTCTGCTGTTTGTCAATTTTTTAAAAAAATGTAAATTTTAAAAAATAAAATGGAAATATGCTAGATAAATTTTATGCAGATGTTGTTTTAAAGGAGAGGGATGAGAATCTGGGAGACTTGCAAGAGCCCAGAGGGTAGTGAAAACTAGATGGTGCTAGCCAAGATCTTTTGTCCACATATGACCTCAGAAAAAGCAGCATGTGTCGGCTCCTGCTGACGGGAAGGGAAGCTGGGGCCTGTTTTGACCTCTCTTACGTCAAGGGCAAGAATCTCTGCCCTCAACATTCCAAGGATTTGGCGGTCTAAGGGTTCCCTTGTGCCAGGGAACAGCAAGCGTTTCAACAGCTGCTTACTAACTTGTCTCACTGGCAAGAAGGTCGGTCACATTAAAAAGGCCCCCATGCTGTCAGCAGGGACAGGCTTAACTGGGGAAGCCAACCTCGTTTTTGATGGTTAAGACTGACGAGGTCTCCTTCAGTGACTTTCCTAGTCAAATTGATGGGGGGGGGAGCCCTGCTCTTGTAAGCATATCTCCCATTAATATGTAAACCTCGATGGAGAGATAACAGAGTGCTTCTGAGAAGGCCAACTCCCTGTGACTCCTAATTCATAATAAGGTTTGTTTTGGCCTCATAAAACAATTAAATTCCTTTTGATAATAAGCATTCCTTTCTTTGAATTCTTGGTAAGAAGAAAAGTTCAGTTGTTTACAGATTTTCTTAAAGATGAATAGAAAGAAAGTTAGTAGGTAACTGCGACAATTAACAACAATTATAGTTATGGCAAAAAAAAATAGCTAGCGTTAACATGAACACTTTAATTTTGTAAAGTGTTTTATATATGTTATCTCATTTAGTCCTCACAAAAACCCTATGAGGTAGGTTGCTGTAGAATAAAGAAACCACGCTATTTATTTAGCAATGCATTTGGGTGCAGAAACAAACCGGGTCCATGATTCTCTGTAGCCAAGGACACTGTCCATTGATTGGGTTCTACACCCCTGTCCTCAGGGCAGCTCTGAAGGGGGCTTCTCCTTGAAGATCTACTTCTGGTTCCGAGTCACTTACAGAGATTCCTAGGTAATTCTACTAAAATCTGCCAGTAACAAGACTCGATACACTTTAGTACAACCTCTTAATTTTGGTTTTCCAATGACTAGTTCATGTGGTGAAAACCAGCTTTTAAGCCTTATGGTTCTAAACCTATTAACGGCAAAGCTATAAGAAGAACATCAGATTAGGAACCCATAATTCACCTAAAACTTTAGAGAATTTCAGTTTTTACATACCACTTGTAAACTTTGTGCCTAATATGCGTACTACTTTCAACAGGCTGGAGAAAGAATCTTTTAAAAAGAAAAATCCATGAAGGCCTGACTTGGAAAATGAGCCCTTCTGTCTCTTAAAATGATTAGACAGAGGTTCAAAATAGAACACTAAATTTACAGTCTTTACAATTGTCAATGCAATTTTATATGTAAATCCCTTAATCCAATTTTGAGAACTTATTACTAAAACATACTCAAGTCCTATATAATCCACTAGAAACATTTGGAAACCAATTCTGTGTGTGTGTGTGTGTGTGTGTGTGTGTGTGTGTGTGTACGCATATCCTCGTTCTTAGAAAAAACAATCTGATCCTGCTGCTTTCTCAAAATTTACTTCTCCATTTAATTAGAAAACTTTTACATCTTTTCTTATTCCCCTTTATCAGGGTATCATCCCCATACCATCCTGAAATAATGAGATGTTTCAAGATAATCTTTTACATAAATAGATAACTATTAGCAAGCCCAAGAACTCATTTACTTAGTTGCTTAGGATATGTAACTGACTACAAATTCAGATTGAAAACAATATTATCTTTCACTCTTGCATCCTATTATAGTAACTCAGAGATGTTTTAGGGTTGGCAGTGACAAAACTTCCACTATTCATTTGCCCAGATTTTTTTTTTTGGTTGTTGTGAAAGGAAAAGGAGAGACATGATTATGACAATATCAAGACTATCCCTTCACGGGCACAGCCTGACCTGACATAAACCATAACAGAAAAAGACTCCCTTAGCATGGTTTGATTTTAGGCACAAGTCATATTTGCCAGCCAATCATATAGCAGAATTCCACATTATTCACAGGGTATCAAAACCAGGCTCAGAATTAACCAGGTGGGAAAATTTCCTGTTCAAAAAGGAAACCAGCACAATGGGGGAAACTGAGTGAAGGGGATCCTACCTTAACCTACACCAGGGTCAACCCTTCAACTTTTGCCAGGCCCAGACATCCACAATTGTCCTAATAGGAGAAAGTATCCCTCTGTAAATGAGACCACTTTATGATTTAGCTTTAGGATATATTTCGACTAAATCATATTTGGATTTATAATCCCTAGTGGTAACATTCAAATTCTCAATTTTCCCAAGGGACCACTGTTTTCAGTTAGCTCATGTTAAAAAAAATTCATGGTGGCACTCCCAGTTTTCCATGTGAGGTTCACATGAGACACTATTTGTAAAGCATTTTGTAAAACTAAAAGTGTGTTATATAAACGTTAGCTCTTTTCATCCTCATTATTATGATTCACATGTAGCTGTATATAGAAATTGAGTAATCATATCTAAGGATGTATTTTTTTCTTTTCATTAGGTGGATAGAAGCATTTCAGGAAGGCACAGTGCTGTAGCACCATCTGTTTCATCTCTTTTTTTATGGTTCCAGAGGACTAGAATTTCATCAGAAATCATGAAATACAGTAAAAAGATTTTTATCAATGTAACCTTGCACTGCCAAGAGAAAATCCCACTCAGTTGTATGTTTGTCTGACTTAGGAAATTGTCTTTTAGTCATGTTAATATTTCTTTAAAAGAGATTGTACACTTGTTAGGGTATTTTTTTTCATACAAAGTGTTATTTATTAAATTTTTGTTGTTTACTTTATGGTCAGAATTATTTCTGAGGCTCACACTGAATTCCAAAGTGTCCTTGTCTTCGGGAGAATAGATAACATATCAGAAGTGTAATATAGTGTTAACTATTGTGACACAGCCTGTGACGTTTTCTTCTGTTACTTCCAGCGATAACACTCTGATCAACAGACATTCTTTGTATCCAAAGTTTGTTGACCAACATTGGTTTTCTGTGAGTTGCTTAATTTAGAAATAGTGAATATTTTAAAATGGTTAAAGAAAAAGACATGCAACCTTAGTCTCGGTAGAGTAATCCCAAATATATCTTTGTATTTTATAATGGGGAAAAAAGATCCCAACACCATATAGCCAAGCTGCTACCTCAGGGACACTCTGGGATTAAGTTCCAGTAAGTTATCTAAATAACAAAATTACTTCTGTCTGTCCTATACTTCTGCTCTTGGTGGGGAAGGGATAAAAGATCAAAGCAGGATAGCCAAAGGATAGAAGCCTGATTTTTTCTTATTGAACTGTGAGTTAGGATGAGGAGTCTGCAGTCCTGAAATTAACACTTTAGAAAACAGCTTTCCCAGATGTGCAAAAACAATCAACTCAACAGGCTTAAAAATAAGGGTCATACTCTACTAGCACAGCATAATATCATCATGGCTTTCAATCTTTTCTTAAATTAAAAAAAAAGGCTTTTCAGAGCCTGAAAGTTCTTTTTTTTAATTTTTTTTTTTTTTAATTTTTAGGCAATTGGGGTTAAGTGAGTTGCCCAGGGTCACACAGCTAGTAAGTGTCAAATGTTTGGTCTGAGACTGGATTTGAACTCAGGTCCTCCTGACTTCAGGGCCATTGCTCTATTCACTATGCCACCTAGCTGCCCCCAGAGCCTGGAAGTTCTTATGAAGAAAGTGGTATATCTGAGATGGCTTCTGTGAAAACAGAAGGAGTCAATAAAATTTCTCATAGGAGGAGACACAGGGGAATTAAAGAATTTATTTCTGCCTATAAGGAGAAAAGCAAAATATGCACGCAGGTTGCCAACACTATTTGCATGATTATAGTTGGCAGTTATTCAGACGCCAAGTTGACCTTGGTATTGTGTCTCAAGCAAATGTTGTATGAAAGTTCACGTTGGCCCTTGAAAATTATGAATTTAACTGAAATGACCATATCAAGAAAGCACAGAGTCTTAGCCAGACTTCATTGAAACTTCCTTGTCTTTTTTTTTCCCCCAAATAGTTTGTTTACACTTTTCAGTATGATTTTGTTGTTTGCTCATTTTTCAGTTGTGTCCAACTCTTCATGACCCCATTTGGGGTTTTCTTGGCAGAGATACTGGAGTGGTTTGCCATTTCCTTCTCCAACTCATTTGATAGATGAGGAAATGGAGGCAAACAGGGTTAAGTGACTTGCCCAGGGTCACCCAGCTAGTAAGTGTCTGAGGCTGGATTTGAACTTAGGTCCTCCTAACTTCTCACTCGGTGCTCTAACCACTGTACCACCTAGCTGCCTTCAATATGATATCTAAAAAGAAATTCATCACTAAATAAAACCAGTACCTTGGAACCCTCTCTAGGAAGCATCCAAAACTCCCACCCTCCACCCTTGTGGAACTCTCCTTGGAAACTTAGTGGGAAGAAAAATGGAATTTTCACTGTGATCCACATATGTAGAGAACACTTTCCCCCTCTTTTTTCTCTTTAAAGCAAGACTCTAGTTGAAATCATCTCATGAGGAGGCTCAGGAATTTTCCACTTCTTCTTATGAAGATATTCATCAGGACAACAGTTTTTTTTACCCTTTGCTGTATCTCAGGATATTCTGGGGTCCCTTTCCTCTGCCTTTGCTCGTGCAGCACCCTGATGGACCTCTGAGACTGATTCTTCTAGCCTGAATACTGCCAGGCAAACATTTCAGGTCCTCTTACCTCCATCACATACCAGACCAGAATAGCAAGTCCTTAAATGTCCCCAGATGTTGACCCCAGGAATCAAGAGAGAGGGAACAGTGAATGTTTATGTTATACAATTATGAATCTAGTGCCATAAAGGACTTTTTAAGTCATGTAGTCCAATCCTGTCATTTTATAGATAAGGAAATTGAGGCAGAACAAGTCTCTCAGATAAGTGACATAGTCAAGATTTGAACCCAGACCCTGGGATTCCAAATCCAGCATGCTCCCTGCTGTACCTTCTATTATTTTTTTAATCCAAGGCCTGTTGAATAAGTTGTCTGTGACAAAACTCCCACAGGTAGACAGCAGCACAGACTTTGGTAAAATCAGATGGCAATATTTGGGGTGAAGAATCATGAATGTTTTTTTCCCTTGCCCTCTGAGAGGTTGGGTTCGTTTTTTCCCTTCTTACCCTCCGAGGGATTCTCCAATTCCTGATTGGTTTGTCCTCCCCTATGCTTTGGCTCCACATTTAACCTTCTTGTCAGTGAGGCACTGTCTTCTTCAAACAGCTGCTGGAATCCAGAGCCAGTTAGTAATCTGAATTTTTAAAACAAGAAATACATTCCCTCTCCACCCCCTAAATTTGCTCAACCACATTCCTTAATTATTTGTGAAACATTTATGAGATGCTGCCAGGGACATTCATGCTTGAATCGAGCTTCCAGCTACCTTGGGTTGTGAGAGAACTGTTTAATCCCCCCTACAGGTTTTGTCTTTGATCTCTCCTGTGTGATATATCTCATTGCTTCTGCTTTTCCTTAGTTCTATACTTAACTTGCCTGACTCAAGGTCACCCAAGGTCCTAATTATCACTGTAAAATAATGTTGGTGTCAGGTCATTAAAAAAAAAAATTAAACCAGCAGAAATTTTGGAGTGCATGTGAAATTAGCTGACTGGGTCTAGAAGGAAAAATACTGCAAACCCCCAGCCTTCGGCAGTGTCTGGAATAGAACAGAGAAGGGAAGGATGTCTTAGCTTAAAGAGCTTTCAACCACACTAAGAACTCTGGGATACCTTCTATGATCCCAGAGGTGGAAGGGACATTGAAGGTCATTTACTCCAAACCCTTCGTTGTATGGATGAGGAAACTGAGGTTCAGAGAGGTGGACCCGCCGAAGCTCACACAGTGTGTAAACGATGAGCCTAGAAGTCCAGTTTGTGACATATACTGGCTGAGTGAACCTGGACAAGTCACATAATCTCTCATTGCTCTAGGCAGTTTTTTAACTCTAAGTTGAAGGTGCCAACCTGCATTGGTAGGGAGAATTTCCTTAGCTGGGAGTTCCTTATGCCAATGAAATCACAATTCCCATCCCTCTTCCCATCAAGGGACTCGAGAGACAGGGGCTGAAATGAGGAGGCCTGGCTGAATTGGGAGAAGCCAGAATTTGCAGCTTTCCGAACCAACCTGATATTTTAGCCCTGATGCTCCCCCACCTGTTAGCATATTCTTGCTGCAAAGATCAAAATGGCTAATTTTGCCTTTTGACCCTTAGCACCTCCTTTCTGAATCCTTCCCTCACTTCATCATCCCCCCCCCCCCCCCCCCCGTACTCCTCACTCCCTCCAGTTATCTCTGACTGCTCAAATCTCTGTTCCACACTTAAAAGTTTCTCCTTCCTCTTCCTGGATCCAGTCAATTAAACCCTGCATCCCCTTTGCTCTGTAATTCACAAGAAGGTGTGAATGAAGTTTTGAGCTAGTAGAATTCATTTCCATTTGAAAACTGGAGTTTACTGCCCAAAGGAACTGGATTTGTTTCTGAAAAGAGCCTTCTGGTTATTCTAGCCAGAGTGTTTCCACCCTCCCCCCATATCCTTTTTACCCAGTGCTTTTTAGGAGCCAATGGCTGTAATCTATAGAATGGCTTGCTCCCCACTGTACCCTTGCTAATGAATTCATAGGCTTCAGTAAAACAAAGTATTATTTTTGCTGAAGGAATTTGGGTTGGCAGAACTTATCATGAGTCATAAATTCAGGATTGGAGAAGGCCTCCTACACTATATTTGGGAAAAAAAAAACACAAAAAACTAGACATTGTGATTTTCATCCATATGGAGAGCTCCCAGCAAGGAATTTCCTCCTTCCACTTCAGAGATCCAAGCCTGCTCTACCATTTAAGTTTCCTGGGGCTCTGGGAGTTATGAATGATTTACCCAGGAGGACCCAGGTCTTCTAGAGTGACTGGGCTGCCTTTTATCAAATAGAGCAATTAGTTTAGAAGGAAAATGCTAATGTAGCATAGATTAGATGGAAGTATTGGGGTTGATTTTAGTTATCTTTAATTTCTGGATAAGATTTGAGATCATAATATTTAGTTCTCTCAGCACTTTATTTACAGTCACTGTAGTCAAATATGGACATAGGTTTCCACTGATAGGTAGGCAGATCACAGCATCTGAGAAATGGGCACCTTCTTGGTAACTGCTGCTAGAGGGATGAATTTGCTCAGAGGCGCTCCTCTGGTCTGAAAAAGGTTATGAAAGCACATTATCCTGGGGCTTTATGTCATGGCCCTTCTCACCTTCTCAAGGAAAGTTCATGTGGACATTCTCTTCTTTTTAACAAAAGAATTATCGCCTTACTAGTAGACTTTTTTTTTTTTAAGAAAAAGACACCAGGGAGTTCAATCTAAGGGACAGTCATAATACAGCATAACACAGCATCACATCTTGATGTGATACTTCTTTTTTCCCCCAAGCCTTTTGAAAGGCTGTTTCTTAGAAACATCTTACCTAGAAAGTTCAGTTTGGTCTTTATTGTCCAGATAGAAATAGAGATCCTTTATAAATAACTGAAAGTCACTGTAAATAATGTTGATATGTATATTTGTACAAATAAATCCACCAGATTGATGTTTATGTCAGTTATGTTGGAGTCTTCTTATTTAAAAAATTATTTAAGCTGTCATCATCATTCCAAAGCTGGCCCACTCACACTGGTTAAGAACCAGCTTTCTCACCAAATAGGATTCATTCTTCTTGGACATTCTGATAACATCGGATCCATTTGACAACGCTAAGGATTCAGGTAGTGAGAATTTTCTTTTAACAAGTAGTCTAGACTGCTGGGAGAAGGGGGTTGGGGAGGGGGTCTGAAGCCCCTGCAGAATTAGTTGCCCAGGTGGGGTCTCCATGTGAGTTGCTTCTTTGGATAATGGCTATAGGGGCCAGGCTGGAAGCGGAGCCTGTGATCTTGGAGGCACTGCTGTTCCTGAGGCTTTGGGGCTTGGTGTCTTGGGCTAACTCCATCAGGATCAGAAGAGAGGTGGTGGCCATCATTTGACTTGCCTGGTACATACCATCTCTGTTCCTGCAAGTGGCAGTCGGTCAGCCATTGGTGAAGGAAGGCTGGCTCTTTCATACCAGGCATTGAGTTTCCCTGGTGGATGACTGCAGGGGTCAGACCTGAAGCTGGGCCAGTGGTCTGATGGGTGCTACTACTCCCAGGTTCCCTTTGATGGTGATTGGTTAGCTGGTGATGGTGGTAGTAGGATAGTGGGCTTCTCCATAGGAATAGTGGCTCCTCTCAATGAGGACTGTGGGGATGTTGAGCTGTCTCTCTAGGGTCTGAGGTGACATAGTAGTCAAGACTGGGATCATGGTTTGACTTTCTGGGAACATATTGCTTCCTTTCTCTCTCAGGATACCTTGCCACATGGGCCATCTCCTGTTGTCCTGATCTATATCTGGCCAATGGACCCAGATGGCTCTGAAGGAGAAAG